TTAAATTCCTTTGTAATTTTGACCTTTGATCCAGATTTCTTTATTATGCTGGGAGAGGCTTTACGTAAGATGCCCAAACTTTATTTTTAAAAAGTAGCAACGTTGAATCACACTTCAGTATCCTGTTTTACCAGTCTACTATATGTAGATGGAGTGATTTAAAAAAAAAAAAAAAAATGGATGTACAGATAAAACAATATCGAAAGCTCAAAGTTGAGTGAAAGCAAAACCATTGTGACTAGTAACACCAAAAGCCAAATTTACTCTTTTCCATGACAACCAGTGAGGGAAGGAGAGAGGGATGTGGTGTGTTCTTTGGCTTTCATTCATCAGTGAGATCACAGTGTCATCTGTGAGGAGCGGAGATCTGATGAAACCCATTGTGAAATGAATGCTTTCTTACGTCACCTGCATTATGCTGCCGTGAGGGTGTGTCTGTGTGAATACACCTGCATGCAACTGCTTCCACAGGCCACATACTTAACATGTGCGGCGTAATGAAACCACAGAGTGAGGAGCGGACCAAAAGTCAAGTCATTATTCACTGTAAATCACCAGTAGCCCTCAAAACTCAGTCACGCTTGTGCACATTCAAACTTGTCGACTTCACAACTCAAATTTCAACCTGTAGCTGTCAGGCCTTTCCCTTGGCAATTCCACGTTGACGTCATAATTATAAAAGCTGACAGCTGAGACTGTACTGTGATCTTTAACCATTATCATTCATTGTACATGGTGAACAGCTTGTTAGCTGATAAACAAAGGTCTGGGTTTCGAGGGGCCTTTGAAATCCATTTGATACATTTTTTTCCCAAAATTCGGTTTTATTTTTTTCCATATTGCGTTTTTTCCATTTTAATTTTTCTGGATGTTTTTTTTTTTTTTTTCCCTGTTTTAATTTTTCTAGACTCTGTTTTAAAATTTAATTTTATAAACGATAATATTGTTTTAATAAACAATGTATTAAAAGTTTAACAAGCAATGTATTAAGTTTAACAAAAATTATATTTTTAAGGCCCTATGAAATATAGGGATGCACGATATTAGAATTTTGGCGATATTGTTCAAATCATTTTGGCAAATGCCGATACCGATATATTTCTCTTTGTTTTGAAACAACACCAAGTCTCTACTGTGCAGAAATTATAAGCAAATAATTTTTAATTTTAGTTAATTTTGAGCAAAAATGTATTTGTTAGGAGTAATAAACTTTATTAAAGTTCTTTTTAATGAGAGTACATTGAAAGCCTTGAAAATATCTGTAATAAAATCTCTGCTGTTTCTTTTTTTGTTTTTTCTTTTTTTTTTTCAGACAGGTGCAGTTGAAACCTTAACATTTTATTTGTGGATTTAACATTAATAGATGGTCTAAAGCAAAAGAGCTGTAAAAATTCTAAAAAATCTTTTAAGTTTTCATAATCCATTTGAAAAATACAATATATTGCATATTACTGAATAAATCTGTATACATTACATTATTTAATTTACAAGTGTCATGTTTTTGATTTTTATTCATGTAAATACTGCGATACTGCTTTATTTATTCAGAAACACAAGTATCTTAATTATATTTGTGTATTTTACTTTCATTTTATTACAAGTAGGCCAACAGCACCCCCTAAGTAAATAAAAGGCGCTACCAGATGGGCTTTAGGACCTGGGGGAGACTGCTGCTGCTGTTACTGCACGCGCTAGAAACTGTTGAATCTCTTGCATAATATTTTATAGCTTCTGAACTTTAAATCAAAACCCACTCATGATTTTATGACATTGATACTGCTTTATTTATTCAGAAACACAAGTATCTTAATTATATTTGTGTATTTTACTTTCATTTTATTACAAGTAGGCCAACAGCACCCCCTAAGTAAATAAAAGGCGCTACCAGATGGGCTTTAGGACCTGGGGGAGACTGCTGCTGCTGTTACTGCACGCGCTAGAAACTGTTGAATCTCTTGCATACCGGACGTGTTCTGTACATGCATTCTCAAATTAAATGCGCGATGCAAAACGGTGAATCTAATCGTCATTCAGGCAAAAGTTCGCTTCAAGAATGACCACACTGCTGACGTTATCTTATCACTGAGCACATGTGAGCTTTCCATCTTATCGGCAAGGCATATTGGCATATTTTATTTCCAAACCGGCTGATGCCGATGTTTACATTTTAAGCCTTTATCGGCCGATTCCGATAACGCTCCGATAATATTGTGCATCCTAATGAAATAAGTTTTCTTAAATTCCATTTTATTTTTACTAGGGATGCACCGATACCACTTTTCCCAGTACTCGCCCGATACCGATACTTTTATTTTTGGTACTTGCCGATACAGAGTACCGATATTTTTATTGCATTTGTAAATTTTTAAAATATTGGGTACAGAAACCAAAAGAGAGTGTATAATGTTAGTTGGTTAACTTAATTTATCAAATAGATACAGTCAAACCAAAATTTATTCAGACACCTTCAACATTTCTCACATTATCACAGTTTATTCGCTATAGTTTAGAAAATGGTAATAAAATATAACAAGAACTCAGTTAAACTGTGTCAGAACAAATTCAGCTTGATAATGTTAGATAACTTTGATAGAAAGGTATGTAGCCTAATGGATTACAATCAACCAAAAATTAGACTGCTGTTAGTATTACAGTATTTACACAACTATCAATACTTAGTCGGGCAACCCTTAGCCTTAATGACAGCCTATAGTCTCCTGGGCATGC